GCGAGCCCAATGCAAGAGGCACCATTGCGGATCTCACTATGTATAAAATATACGCAGCAGCAGCTTTCTGTCCTGGCTCCTTGGCTGTGAGAGAAGTTGCCTGACTTTCACGCTCAAAGTGACAGGCTCAGCACAGCCTCGACTGGGCACCATAGATTTTGCTCACAATTGGACTTTTAAGAGGAAATCGAGGAGCAAGAGCAATGCTGGTGGCACCGTTGCGGAGCTCACCATGTACAGAAAAGGCCCAGCAGCACCCTTCTGTCCTGACTCTTGACTGCAGGAGCAGGAGCCAGACGATTGTGATCTGAGCCCCGGATTGTTCAACAGCCTTTACTTGGCACCTTAGAGAATGCAAGCAATTGGACTTTTAGGTGTGAAAACAAGATGTCGGGGGCACCGTTGCGGAGCTCTCCATGTGCTAAAGATGCCCAGCAGCAGTTTTCTCTCCTGGCTCTTTGGCTGTGGGAGAATGGTCCAAACATTCGTGCTCTATGCCCCATACTGCGGCACAGCCTGACCAGGCAGGCAGGCAGTAGGATCCGGAGGGCGAGTACTAGGACCCGGCAGGTGGGTGACCACTAGCATCCATCCCGCAGCACGACGAATAGAGCATGAGCATCCGGCCCTTTCTTTCAAGAAGAGGCCCATGATCAGCTTTCTTATCCCTCTGCCCTCCCCTGTGCTGTGATGGTAGCAGGAGCTGCTCTTTTATTAAACACTGTATTTTCTAATGCCCACTCCCTCATTCCTCACCCGCGTTGTCTCCCTCCTGTGCTGTGCCCCGGCACCCATCCCCGCAGCCTCCAGGCTGCTCCATGGGAACAGGGCTTCAGGGATGCGGGAAATTGAGGCAACGAATGGGCAGCACTTGGCTGAGCCCTGTCCTTGCACCTGGGGGCACTGCTGCCCAACCTGCAGCGAGTGGATGGATGGATGGATGGATGGATGGATGGATGGATGGATGGATAGAGGGGTGGGTGGTGGGTGCATGGATGGATGGATGGATGGATGAGTGGATGGATGGGTGGACACATGGTACCCAGCAGGGATTGAATCCCACAGAACATCCCTGTGCCTCTGGGGGTCCAGTGCTTCCAGCTCCAGGAGAGGTTCAGGGTGAGGATGGCCCCAAGCTGCCTCTGCAGCAAGGTACCAGGGGGCTCTGGTGGGGCTCTCCGGGGGGCTCAAGCTCTTTCCAGTGCAACGGGGCCCACACCTGTGCTCCCACCACTGTTTGGTGCTGATGGGCTCTTGTTGGGGTCCCTTTGTGCTGCCCAGGGAACTCCTGTGCTGGGGCTTCATCTCTGAGAGTCAGGGCTGCTCACAGCAAAGCCAGGCACCCAGGACCACAAGGGGGGACCTCTCTCTTCACCATGAGGCCAGTGTGATGCTGAGCTCCAGCTCCCACCCTAGACACCACTGAGTGCCACCATCCTGCCCCCAGCCCCATTTCTGCCTGGTTTCACCCCAAATCTGCCCTCCATGACCAGAGAAGCCCTGAGGAACTGGATGGAGAACAAACAAACCAAACTTTACTAGAACCCCAAGTCCCACCGTGGTGGGGGCAGCGACAATCAGAAGAGGTGGAAAAGGGGGAACCAGAGCGGCATTACATGGGGAGGGTGATGGTGACCGTGTCCCTGCAGCCAGTAAAGTCAAGTGAAGCATTCCCACACTGTATGCCTGTTGCTGGGAAGGGATGGGGGAACCGGGGTCACTACCCACAGGATTTGCTCTGTCCATCCCGCAGCGCCTCAATCTTTGGGACCAGCTCCCCAAAGGTGGGTCTCGCGCTGGGGGTGAAGGCCCAGCAGCTCAGCATCAGTGTGTAGACCTGGAGGGGGGACACAAGGGATGGTGACACCAGGGGGGCATGGTGGTCCCGCCCCAGGTCCCCACCAGCCCGGGCAGGGCTCTCACCTCCCCAGGGCAGCCACAAGGTGCTGGGAGCCGCCGGTTGTCCTTGAGGAGCTCCAGCAAGCGGCAGATGATCTGCACTGTCTTCTCAGTGCCCATCATGCGGAGAAACTCCTGCGGGCACGGGGATGCCCATCAGCACAGGGATCATACCAAAGGCAACAGGTCCAGGGTCAGGGTCCCACCTCCGAGGGGCTCCTGATCTTGTTGCTGTAGGTGAAGAGCTCGTAGAGGAGGACCCCAAAGCTCCAAATGTCAGATGCTCGAGAGAAGACATTGTCCGACAGGGACTCGGGCGCGTACCTGCCATGAGGAGGATGCTGAGCACTGGCTTCTATGGGACCAGCACCACAACATCCCTCCCACAGCACCTCACCAGAAGACGGGACTCTGGCCGGGCTCCCGCACCACGTAATAGTCTTTGTCCTGTGGCAGCAGCTTGGCCAGCCCGAAGTCCCCGATCTTGACGTGGGTCTCACTCTCCACCAGGATGTTCCTGCTGGCCAGGTCCCGGTGCACACAGCGCTGTGCGCCCAGGTACTCCATGCCCTGCCCGGGATGCAGCCACTCACAGCATCCCCAGGGACCACAACCCCTCCATCCCCATCTGTCCCCACCCCACAGGGCAGAGCGGGACCCGCATTGGTCCCCATGGTCCCACCTTGCATATCTGCCAGGCATAGAGGAGCAGGGTCCTGTGGTCCAGGCAGGGCTGGTTCTTCTGCAGGTAGTCCCGCAGGCAGCCGTTGGGCAGATATTCCATCACCAGCCGCAGCCCGTGGCATCCTGCACCCACATCTATCATCCTCCAGCTGGGATGCAGGCAGAGCGTCCCTGCCCATTCCCTGCCTGCTCCCTGCCCTATGCTCTCACCCCGGCTGTAGCAGACCCCCCGGTACTGGACGATGAAGTCGTGCTGCAGCGAGTGCAGGATCTGGATTTCCCTCTCAAAGTCCCGCAGCTCCTTGGCTGAATCCTGCTGCAGCTTCTTCACAGCCACCAGCTCGCCTGTGCTGTCGCCCAGCGGGTCATAGCGGCACAGCTCCACACTCCCAAAGTTACCCTGGTGGGGATGTGGGATGCTGGGGTTCCTTGATGATGGGGGTCCCCATCATCTTCCCAGTGCCTCCCCATATCCCACACAAGGCACAAACTACTCAGCTTTACAGGGCGAAGCATCCCTGTATAGGCAGAGGATGTTTCATGCCCCACACTCAGGTAATGAAAGGGAGGAGAGTGTGCAACTCGTGCCCTGATTTTGGGGCTCCCTCTGACCCCGCTCACCTTGCCCAGCAGTGAGATGTACTTGAGGTGCCGCTCCTCAAAGCATGCGGGGTCCTGGCACATGGCAAGGGGCTCGCACCCCCAGAAGCCGTCCCGCAGTGCCACATCAGCGGGGGACAGGTCCGAGAGCAGCTCATAGTCTGGGAGAGGCGGGTGTGAGGGCCCCAGGGGGATCCAAACCCCGTCCCCCCCACCATCCCCATGTCATGGGCTCACCGGAGGTAATGAGGCTGTTGAGGTCACGGATGAGGGCACGGAAGCAGGGCCGGTGCCAGGGCTCATAGTCCATGCACTGCACGATGAGCGTGGCCAGCTCCGTCCACTTGGGTGCAGGGAGCTGGAGGCTGCTCGCATAGAAATCCAGCTTCTGCAGGGGGGAAGATGAGGCTTAGGCTGGTTATGGGGTGCCCAGCCCTGTGCTCCCTCCAAACAGCCCCTCATTGGGCTGTGCAAACCCCTCACACTGCCCAGGAACTAGATGGTCTTAAGGTCCTTTCCAACCCAAACCATTCCATGGCTATATGGTCACTCAAAGGGTGAGGGATGTCAGGCTGGGGCTTGGTTACTGCTGGTCCCTGCAGCACTGGATACACAACCACCTCGACACAGGTGAGGGGGAGCCTTGCAAGACCCCAGCTCTAGGTGCCGTGGGTGCCAGAGGTGCCCATTGCCCTCAGTGATGCCCCTTCTCTGGGGTGACCAGAGCCTCTTCCAGCAGAGAAATCTCAGGGTGGGATGGGCAGTGGGTGAGTGAGCAGAGCCCAGGCACAGCAGGATAGGGCAGGAGGGTTGGGATGCAGTGGGATGGGGCAGGAGGATCAGGATGCAGCGGGATGGGGCAGGAGGGTCAGGATGCAGCAGGATGGGGCAGGAGGGTCAGGATGCAGTGGGATGGTACAGGAGGGTCAGGATGCAGGGACAGAGTAACCTCACCTTCTGGGGCTCCAGCAGGCTCACAGGCATATTCCCACCACTGAAGATCTCCCAGAGGGTCGCCCCAAAGCTCCATTTGTCTGCGGGCAGCGCCAGGCTCTTGGGGTCCTGGAGGCACTCAGGGGCCAGCCAGGGGATGCGCTCCACCAACACTGGGGACAGGAGCCCCGCTCAGCACCCACCGGGGGGGCCTTGGTACCCCCAGCCCCAGCACTTACTGTCCTTGGCCAGGATGGTGATGCTGACCCCAGGGTCATTGAGTTTGATGAAGGGGGGGCTGCCGCTGGCCACGTCTCCCTCCCGCGTCAGCAGCACCTTCTTAGCTGAGATGTTGCCGTGGGTGATTTTCTTGTCCTCCTGGGGAGGCGAGAGGGACCAGAAGCATCAGTGCAGCGCCAGCCCATGGGGCAGCCCCATGCAATGGACTGAGCTGGTCCAGCCAGGGTGTACCAATGGGGATGTGTGGGACCTGTGGGCATGTGGATGCACATGGATGTGTGGGACCCATGGGACATGGTTGCACAGATGCTGAAGGATGCAGATGCACAGGAGCTATGTGACATGGATATGCTGGAGCTGCAGGACATGGATGCATGGGAGATGCTGGACACGGATGCATGGGAGTTTTTGGACACAGATGCATGGGTGCTGTGGGACATGGATGCATAGGAGCTGTGGGACGTGGATGCATCGGGGCTATGGGAGATGGGTGCATGGGAGCTGTGGGTTGTGGATGCATGGGGGCTGTGGGACATGGATGCATAGGAGCTGTGGGACGTGGATGCATCGGGGCTATGGGAGATGGGTGCATGGGAGCTGTGGGTTGTGGATGCATGGGGGCTGTGGGACGTGGATGCATGGGAGCCATGGGATAAGGACACGGGACAACCGTGGGATGAGGACATGGGAGAGCCATGGGATAAGGACATGGGAGAGCTGTGGGAAGCTGGCCTACAGGAGCTGCAGGACATATGGATACAGCTCACCAGGTAGTTGAGGGCATACGCCAGCTGCTTGGCCACCTGCAGCTTCCAGCTAGTCGTCACCTTGCCCTCGCCTTGATTCTTCTTCAAGTAGAGATCCAGCGGTCCATACCTGACATATTCCTGCACCATGATACCTGGGGGGGGCACAGCACAGGCAGGTCCAGCACACCCATGTTCCATGGCTCCCATGCATCACCCTGGCACTCACTGTCCTTCCCAAGGCTGACGCCGTGCAGCAGGACCAGATGTTTGTGGGAGAGCTGGCTCATGATGCTGGCGGCCTCCAGGAAGGACTGGATGGGGGAGAGGCCGGCTCAGGGTGGGCAATGGGGATCTCCCCCAGTGCTGGGCACTGGGGCTGCTGCTGCCTCACCTCAGAGCAGTTCTGGTGGCTGCCATCCATGACCTTGAGCACCACTGTGGTCTGGTAGCACCCGTCCTCCCCCTGGTCCCGCTTGATGCCCTTGTAGATGCGGGTGAAGGAGCCCTGCCCCAGGCTCTCGCCCTGCAGGAGGAGGGGACGCCGGTGCTAAGGGGGGTCCCTACCAGTGTGCCCCATCCCACCAGTGCCCCATGTCCCCCCTCCCCAGTACCTGAGTGAGGCTCTGGGGGTCGATCTTGTGGAACATCATCTGATTGAGGCTGCGGTGGGGAGTGCAGGGGGAGCCAGGGGGCTGGGGGC